CAAATAGTATATATCTTAAATTCCACATACTCTACTATGTGACAAGCACTTTATATAAGATGTACCAAAAGTGTCAATTAGACACTCTCTGTAACTCACTCCAGCACCTAGGGAGATATTGAAGAATTGGGGGAAGTACGAAGTACTTAGTCTTTGAGGTTGTAAAAGAAATAGTGTTTCTGCAGTCAGAGCTTAAAGATGTAAGTCACCAGGTCACCCTTGGTAATAAGTATTTTCATTCTGCCCAAAAGGGGTGGACTTCCATTCCTTACCACTGCTATTTCACCCAGACAACAGTAGGCTCACTGGTGGCTGACAAATGATGACGGCTTTTTGGGGCTTCAGGGAGAGCTATTAGTGAGGCTGGTGGCTTGATAAGTACTAAAGCATCACCACCTTCAAGTGATACTCTGTGCTGAACAGGACCATTATTATTAAGTTTTTATTGCTGATGATCTCTCTCCTGACAAAATTTTGGCCTCTGGAGTAGCTTTTGGACTGGCCAGGGGTGGGGAACCTGCAGCCTCAAGGCCACATGTGGCCCTCTAGATCCTTTGATTGAATCCAAACTTCACAGAACAAATCTGGATTCAGTCAAAGGGCCATGCTTTAGGACCTAGAGGGTCACATGTGGCCTTGAAGCTGCAAGTTTCCCACACCTGGACTAGACTTTGTAATTTCTGCTGCTTTTTCAGAGAACCATAAAATCTCAAAGGTCACCTAGGTCAGTCCATACCTGAGGCAGAATCTCTTTTAGAATGTATCTGACAAAGAGTCATCCCGTCTTTGTTAGGACTCCAGTCTGAGATGAGATCTTACGATGATAGAGGCAGAGCTAGAACCTCGGAGGCCATTAAGTTCAATTTTTTACAGATGAGGAAACTGAGGCCCCAGCACATTAAGTGACTTGCCCAAGGTTATACAAATAGTAAGCATCAGAAGTGGGGTGTGAATCCACACCCTGTGACTCCAGAGTCAATACTCTTTTCCCTGTACTACTTCCTGAGGAAGCCTGTGCCACTTTGGGACGGCTCTAATTGCTGTTTTTCCTTATATTGAACTGAAGCTACTGCTGCAGTTTCCTTCCATTCAACACTCTTTGTTTTGCCTTCTGAGGCCAAGTAAAACAAGATGAAGCCCTCTACTACATAATAGCTTTTCAAACATCTTAAAACTGCCTCCCACCCAGACTTGTCTTCTCCAGAATAAACAGTCTTAATTCCTACTGTGATCCCTGCATACTATAGTTTCTAGTCTCCTTGTCATCTTTCAGAGGAATGCTAGATTGTCAACATTCCTTCTAAAATGTCACACCCAGAACATTATAATCCCGATAAGGCCTGAACAAGTCGTAGTATAACAGGAATAATGTCTCCTTTGTCCAAGAAAATTTGATTCCTTTAAAGCAGCCCCATGCTGCCATTAGGTTTTTGGCTGTTATGTTGCACTGCGGATGCATATTGAGGTGCCAATGTGCTAAGATCCTGAGATCTTTTTCATATGAACTATTGTCTAGCCATATCTCCCCCATTCTGTATTTTTACAATTAGTCTTTTGAACCCAAGGTTAGGATTCAGCACTTAACCCATTAAATTCCGTCTTATTGGATTTGGCCCATTATTATAACCCTTTGAGATCTTTTTGGATTCTTATTCTGTCATCCAGTCTCAGCTTCGTATTATTCATAGATTTGACAAACAAACCTTCAACCAAGTCATCGATAAAAATGATGAATGGAGAGATCCCTGTGGTACTTCAATAAGGACATTCCTCCAGGCTGACCTTTTATTAAGTATTTAGTATCTGCAAGACACTGTGCTAACTGCTAGGGATGCAAAGAAAGGCAACCCTCCCCCAAAACAAAAAACCAAACCCAATCCCTGCTCTGAAAAAGCTCATTATTCTTTGGGTCCAGTCCTTCAAACAATTCTAAATCTATCTAACTAGTATCACCCAGTCCATTTTATCCATACAGCTACCATGAGAGAATCTGTCTAATACAGGGGCATACATGTGGCCCTCTAGGTCCTCAAGTGTGGCCCTTTGACTGAATCCAAACTCACAGAGCAAATCCCCTCAATAAAAGGATTTGCTCCGTAAAACTTGGACTCAGTCAGGAGGCTCCATCCAAGGACCTAGAAGGCCACATATGGCCTCATGGCTGCAGGTTTCCCACCCTGGAATAGCTTGTTGGAATCTAAGTAAACTATATTTGTGACATTCTTCTGATCTAACAAACAACTAACCTTGGTTAAAAGAAAAAAGGAAGTGAGGTTAGATGTTTCTTGACAGAGTATGCTGGCTTTCCTTTCTGAGTACCTATGAGCCATCTCTTTAAAAATGTAATCTAGAATTTTGCTAGGAAGCAAATTTAAGCATACTATCCAATAGTTTGAAGAATCAACCTCCTTTATCCCGCTTTTTTTGAAAATAGGGATGTTTGCCTGCCACATATCTTGTGGCACATCTCTAGTTTTCTAATTTTTCAAAGATCACTGTCAGTATCACAGCACACACACAAAAATAGTTGACACATATATGTCACTTTAAGGTTGACAGAGCACCTCACAGACATTTTCTCTTGTGATCCTCACAAAAACTCTGTGTGTGTGTGTGTGTGTGTGTGTGTGCATGCGCGCGCATGTGTTAGGGGTAGGTATTACAGGCATAAGCATCCCTTAAGGCTCAGAGAATTTAGCAACATGTCCAAAGCCACACAGCTAGTAAATGTCAGGAGCAGGATTCAAACCCAGGTCTTTTTAGGACTGCACATCCTGCACTTTTTCCAGGGCCCCACACTCCCTCTCGAGCACTGCCTTCAGCTACAACCTGGGATTGTAGCTCTTTTGGCTCTGGTGACTTAAACTCATTAAGTGTAACTGGGTGCTTTCTTACCTTAGCTTCATTTATCTTGAGTTTCAATTTCCTGTTAACTATTTTTGTTTCCAATCTCAAGAACATCCTCATTTGCAGAGAAAATATAAGAAAAATGAGAGTTGAGAAGGCCTGCTTGTTCTCTTTTGTCTGATATCATCTCATCTCCCATAAACACATTCTTCTGCATTCTTCTAGCTTCTTCTTACTCCTAACATAGCTAAGACTCTTTGTCCTTTGTATTCCCCCTGCACATCAGTTTTCTATAGGATGGTAGCATCCTTTTGCATGTTTCTCCAGTTATCTTCTATTACTAACATCTTCCATATATTTGTTTTTTTTAAATATTTTAAAGATTCCTCTTAAAAAAGTTGGTAGATGAGTTCCCTATGTAGCCACATCAGTTTCTTTAGACAGCTCTTGCTTACCATATATGCTGGAATAATCTATGTTTGCGTCATCAGAATTTTGTTTGGAAAGTTTTATATCACTTTTGAAAGTAAGCTTTTTGTACAGAATTTTAAGCCATGGAAATCTTATTTATCCTTTGTCTGAACTTTCTGTAATCTGCACACCCCAAATCTAGGATACAAGTCAGGTAACAACAGGCTTTCCCCTCCTTGTCTACAAACACTAAAATTGCATGGTTAGATAAGATTGCTATAATTCTACTTTAGCAACCAGTTTTTAATTATTGATCAGAATTAGGTCCAGAATAGTAATTTTCCTTGGCACTTCCTCTGTGTTTCAAAGTATTAAATTATGATCCAGACAAGGCCATAATTTATCATATGTTCTGTTTCTGGCAGAGGGGAGGAGAGAGAGGGAGAGGGAGAGGGAGAGAGGGAGAGAGAGGAGAGAGAGAGAGAGAGAGAGAGAGAGAGAGAGAGAGAGAGAGAGAGAGAGAGAGAAAGAGAGAGAGAGAGAGAGAGAGAAGGAAGAGGAGGTGGAGGAGGAGGAGAAGGAGGAGGAGGAGGAGGGATAGAAAAGAGACAGAGACAAAGAAAAAGGGAGGAAGAGGGAGAAGAGAGACAGAGATCAACAGGCAGACACACATTCACACAGAGATCAACAGGCAGACACACATATTACACACACACACACACACACACACACACACACACACACAGAGGAGCCCCTTCAGATGTCTAGATGGCTGGCTAGTTGAAGTCTTTCATCACTATTATATCATGTCTTTTTGACAGCTTTTGACCTGCTTCTTGAACTCATTATTCATTTTCTCTTTTTGTTTGGCTGCTTTGTAGCTGTTCATATACCATGATAGTGGTTAGAGGGAATTGGGGGCCAGAGAATTCCAGTGACTTTCCCAAGGTCAAACATCTAGTTAGTGGTACAGCTTGTCTCAGACAGTTTTATAAGACTGTGCATGTGCTGAATCGATATTTTTCCCCCTGTCAATTCTCCTTCACTTCCCACTAATCTTATTGGCACAACAGATCCAACCAACTTTAAAGTGGTGCATATTGACTGCTGATACTGGTTAAAACACCAGATCAGCAGACTTTCTATTTTTTTAATAGCATGGGAAAGACCTAACAGTTTAGTGCATTCCTGGCCATAATAAATGTCTATTGATATTTGGCTAACATTATAAACAGATTATATAAATTTGGGCTAAATAGTCTTGAAGGGCTAGAAAATCAGATATGGGGAAGGACAGAGATTTGGAAAGGGGAATTGAAAATCATCTAGCAAAATTATGTGAACAATTACGAGAAAAATTTATTTCTTCCCTTATTCTTCCATTTATTTCCCCTGCTAATCCTCCTCCATACATTTCCCCCTGTAGTCTTATGCTCTGGTTCTTCCCATCTCACATCCATCCCACTTTGGTCAAAGAAGACCTTTGGTTGAAATTGAATCTGGATTTAGCATGTAAATCACAGTGCTATGTAATGTCGATGTATCATTAAATCAGAGCACTGATGCCAAAGCAAATAGAATGTTCTCTAGGAAGTTTTGGATAAGGAATTGATGGGCCACACAAAGCTTGTGAGATCTCAGGAAAATCAAAATACAGGAAAGCTGAACACTTCTACTGAGCCACAGCCAATGCAGTGAAATGGGATCACATATGGCGGACACTGAGCAAAAGGATGCAGTACCTCTGAGACATGTTACTTTAACTGGATCCAGAGGACGTCTTTCAGGACCTGTCTCTCCTGACTGCACTGACCTTTTCCTTTTTCCAAGGCCGCATGAGTACTTAAGCTCATCGGTTGTAAAAACAAATCTGATGAGGTATCGAAGTAGCCGCCTCCCATCTTTCTTGGAAGAATTTACAGCCTCATCCCATTGTTTACTAGTGATGTAGACAGGATAGTTGTTCAACAGCTGCTTGCTTCCCTGGGAAAGTGAAACATTTTCCATTATACACTTAGGCATATAGAGAGAAGCTCAAACAATCTCTGCTTGAAAGGAAAATAGGCTTGTAACCAAGCTGATATGCTGACAATGAAACACGTATTGAAGGTAGCAAGTAATCGCTCATACTCAGAACAGGCACTTTTTAAATTACATTTGCATTTTCTATAACAAGAGCCCAATGAGGTATAATGAACACCTTTGAGAGAGCAGCTATTTATAACTTGCACTTTAACAGGTAGGTTAAAATGTGTCAAGATTCAATGACAGGGAACACCATTTAAATATACCCATAACTTTCCTTTTCAGTCTACTCAAAGGTATAAAAATGATTTTGAAGAGTGGGATCAAACATGTCTCATCACTCCTTCCACTTGCAGTTAAGTACTTCAGACATGACTTTTATGACATATTTTCATAAGATATTTATTACTTGTATTTAACACCTCACACCTGCTAGCCAGTCTATTACCTTGAAAACAATGTGGAGAAAGTAAATAGAAAAGTGAATTTTAAAACTAGAAAAGATTCATTAATAGTCACAGGAAAACACATTAACTCAAATTATAGCTCTGTGCAAATGCCACTATGTCAACTCAAAATTTTTCTTCCTTTTAACCTTCATAATTTATGTCTGCTATAAAATCCCAGGGCTCAATAGCTGCAGTGGGGCTAATTACGGGAATTTCTGTAACGTTTATAAGCCATGTTTAGTCAATTGTACCTACACTACCATTACTTCAGTTCTTGTGGTCTATAAAATTCTATAGTTCAGGACCAATTAATTAACCCAAGATCTCAGTTTTAATGTACTCCTTCTCCAGTAATTAAGGTATACAAAATAAAGATGGGGAAACCCTAACAACTCATTCAGTTTTACAATGCCGCAAATTTACTACTGGTTATAAACCTGGCAGTGTGTAAGCCTTGAGGGGCCTTATTTTGAAAAACCTCTGTTCAGCTAGAGGTTGTTATGCTTCTCTTGCCAGCTTTGACTACCCATATGTGATATATACGTATGTACATACATACATACATATATATGTGTATGTGTGTGTGTATTTGTTGTTGTTGTTATTCAGTCCTTCAGTTGTGTCTGACTCTTCATGACCCTGTGAACCATACTGTCCACGGGGTTTTCTTGGCAAAAATACTGGAGTGGTTTGCCATTTTGTTCTCCAGTGGATTAAGGCAAACAGAGATTAACTGACTTGCCCAGGGTTACAAAGCTAGTAAGTGTCTAGGGCTGGATTTGAACTCAGGTCTTTCTGACTCCAGGCCCAGTGCATTATCCACTGAGCCTCCTAGTAGATTCCTATGTGTGTATGTATATGCATATGCATATATGTGTGTGTGTGCATATATATGTATATATGTGTATATATATACATATATATATACATATATATATATATAAACTACATAATAAAGCTCAAATCTGGTAATATATATATGAAGCATTTTGCTAGCCTAAAAAGTGTTATGTACCTGTTAATTTTACTTTTAATATAGTCTAAACTTCCTTAGTTTCTTGAATTATTAAGTCTACAATGTGATTAAAAAAAATAATTAGCATATTTAGCACAAACAGAAAAAGAAACCAACCAGTAGCAGCATGTACAGGGACAATCAAACCTGATCAAAAGGTTCCATTACTATTGCTGTGAGTTTGCCAAGACAGCAAGAAGTCAAGAAATGCAGCAAATCTCAATTAATCTGGAGCCTCACTTAATCTTTCCCCTCTATTTTTAGGACTAAAAGACACGAGAAAAATGGTGTCATTGACAGCATAGTACTATAGTTGGAATCAAGATATCTGGTTTCAGATCATAGGTCGAGTCATTTAACTTCACTGAAATTCATAGAGCCTTTCTCAAGTGTTTGGTTTTTAATTGTTTTGCATTTATTTGGCATATACATATATTAAACACACACACATACACACACACATATACATGCATATATGTATAGTGTGTATGTTTGTATGGGCAGCCAGGTGGCACAGTGGATAGAGTGCCAGCTCTAGAATCAGGAGGACCTGAATTCAAATCTGGTCTCAGACACTCATGTACTAGCTGTGTGATCCTGGGCAAGTCACTTATCCCTGTTTGCCTCAGTTTCCTCACCTGTAAAATGAGCTGGAGAAGGAAATGACAAACTACTCTAGTATCTTTGCCAAGAAAACCCCAAATGTGGTAAAGAAGAGTTGGACACACCTGAAAAACGACTGAACTGAATGTAAGTATGTATGTATGTATGTATGTATGTATGTATGTATAAAAGGTCTCCCCTATAGAATTTAAGATCCTTTAGAAAAGGAATTGCTTCATTTTTTGTTTTTATGTGCTTGATGCCCAGCACAGGGCCTGATACAAAGTAGGTGCTTAATAAATGCTTGTTGATTTATTGACTAGCATGTAATAAAATAGGGATAACAAGTCTTACCTACCTCATTGGGATGTGAGGAAAGAGCTCTATATGCCCCTAAATGATACAAACATGTGCATAGTTACAGGACAGAAAGCTTGAAAAGATTTCAAAGATTACCTAGTCCAATCCCCTTATTTTACAGATGAGGAGACTTAGATAAAGTGATTTTGCTTAAGGTCACATAGCTACTCAGTGTTAGGCCAGGATTTGAACTCGGTTTTTGACAGCGAGTTGGGTTCTCTTTCTATTATGCCCCATTGTTTCTGTGGTCAGGATACATTTAGTCTGTTGTCCTGTACCTCCTACAGCTATGGCACTGTGTAGTTTAGTTATTTTCAAGAATGATCATCAGAATCCTGCAGGAACTTTCTGAGGGATTAAATCATGATGAAAATGATGTTAAACACACTCCAGTTATTAAAGCAGGAAAACGGAATACAGATTTAAGAAATATTCTAAATATGAAAGTTGGAATTAAAAAAAAAGATTATGATTAACTTTCTGCTACAGATACTTTATTCTATTTGAACATTTGGTGAATAAATTAACAGGATTTTTTTTTTCTGTCCTTGTTGCTCTAAGCAAGCTTTGGAGATTTGTATCATCTGAATCTTTTTGTCATATTTCTTTTCTGAAGATTTCATGTGTGTTACTCATCTCCTCGGACAAGGAGTATAAACTCCTTAAAGGTAGGAACTATATAACATATATATTATATATATATATGTATGTACACACACAAATATATGTATATATATACACATGTATACATATACACATATTTGTATTTCACACAGTACCTAGCACAGTATTACATAATTAATAATTAATATTAAATTGATTATGCTATGGTCAAGGGGAGTATTTCACCCTTCAAAAGGCTTAACTTCTATAATTGGTTTTCAGAAAAGTATGTTATAGCATGACAGATTTAGGAGCTGGAAAGGACTTTAGATGTGATCTAGTCTAACTCCTTTATTATACAGATGAGGAAACTGAGACCCAGAAGAGGTTAAATGACTTGCCCAAGGCCAGGTGGGTTTTAAGTTAGAATCTGAACCCTACTCTTCTGACTCCCCCTTACAGATGATAGGTATCTCCATTTAATTAAACATTTGGAGAACCCATGTTAAATTCAATATGCTTAAGTTTTAGGAATTTTTTGTTGCCTTTTCTATCCAAGAGACTGGAACAAGTGTCAGGCATTATTTTTCTTTATGAATTAATAAGTATACTTTAAAAAAAGGGTAGGAACACAGAGGAAGGTTATTTTGGTAACATCCTAACAATTAAATAGATAACAATTTTCACAGATCTGCCTTAAAATCCTGTCTTGCAATTAATCAGATAGCCATCTTGAGTAAAGAGGATTCTAGTTTTTTACAGAGGTGGCTTTGGCACATTACAAAAGTTTCAGATAAACTACCAAATTATTAAGTCTGCATATTGAACACATAAAGCCATCAGAAAAACAATGGTCCATGTTTTTAAGAGATAGAGGATTTGGGAGTACCGTTAAAACTCTGCTGGAAATCAGGATTTCAATCAGATGATACATTCCTATTCATTTCAGGCTCCAAATTCACACAGTTGTACATTTAACTAAATTCCTTGAAATGATGCCAATGCCATCAATAGGTTATTAAACACCCCAAGCTGGTAAACATGATAATAAAAAAAAACAGTAAAAACTTTTGACTCCACATTTGGACACTTTTGCCACCTGCATTTTATTCTAATATTCTACTTTTATCTACATGAGAATAGAATACTTAATTGTATTTTTTTTTTTAGCTGAAGAACTCGTGAAAGCTCCTGATCACTTGTCAGAAGCAGAGGGACAAAAAGGCAGCCTGGTTTTCAGTTTCACCCTCTCTCTTGTCTTTCTGACAAACAGCTAGGGTTGTTCACAAAATGTTTTGCTTCCAGATGGGTTTACTGGTTTTGAAACCAGCTATTTAATTTTAATTTCAAAGTAGCTGAGGATTTGAAATCTCTGTTTTGCAAAGCATACAAAACCATTCTCTCTGTAGCTGGGAAATTTGTGTGGTAGGGAGAGGGGTGTGAATGTGGGTCTGGAGGGTGGCAAGGGAAGAACTAAACTAGAATGTTCTCTATTGATGTCCTCCATTGACATTATGTGCCCAAATCCTAACTGTGTTTATGTGAGGGAGAATACAGGGGTGAAGAAAAGATAAGTGAAGTTGCTAAAATTAATGACGTCACCCAGTTGATAGTGGAAGGGGAAGGGAATGGAGAGCAATAGGAAGGGAAGTAAAGGAAGAGACTTTTGCTTCTTATTGCATCCTGTCCTCAAGCACTGTCAATATCAAATAAAGAAACAATATGGAGTAATGAAAGGAGAAGTGGATTAGGAGGTGGGTGACCTTGGTCCTACCATTTATTATCTGTGTGATGTTGGGCAAGTCACTTAATCTTTAGAATTATAGGTTAGAAAGGACCTCAGAGGTCAACTGCTCTAATCTTCCGCCTGATTCATGAATTATCTTCTTTATCATCTTCAGCCCACAATATATAGTTCTTTACTAGGCTTGTACTTGAAGCCTTTTTGTTTGGAAGACTCTGTTAGAGCCTGCTTTCTGATGACACCTTCTTCAAGAACTTAGGGTCATCTCCATTTTGTGATGAGGCATCATAATAAGATTTTTGCCTTAATAAGCCTTATTTAGTGGAGGGAATTCCTCCACACAATAAAAAAAATCCCTCTTTTAAAGTGTGGTTCTTGTAATGCTGTGTAGAGGCCTTTAAAAAAAAAGCATATCATATTCATATTAAAGATAGGAACAGGATTAGGTTAGGGAACTCCCTGGATGAAGAAAACTCCCTCTACCAATGATAACTGGTATTTTCTCTGTTAACATAGTATTAGAGTGTTGCCTAGAGATTCGAGAGTTTAAATGATTTGCCCTGGATCACAGAGGTAGTATGTGTCAAAGGTAGGACTTGAATAGAGATGTTTTGGGCTCTGAAATGAACTCTCTGTTCACTATCCCTCTACATATTCAAGTTATATCATTAAAATCATCAAAGAGTTATTTCTGAGGTGTGAAGTACCAGTGAATAGGACCAATCTAGGCCCCTTCTCAAACATTTTTGATACTCACTTATACAAAAGCAACTCAGTCACTGTTGTTTAGGTTTACTATTTTGAAGTATTCAGAAAAGAAAAATTGTCTTAAAAAAAGAAATTTCAAAAATAAAAATAGAACTATGGAGCGGTTTAGATTATAGAGGAAATAATAATACTTTAGAATAGTTAATTGGGATAAAAGATAATGTAAAATATGACTGAGGATATTCTATGTGATGAGATTAAAAATAAAGTAGTATAGTGGAAATAAATCCAGTAATTTCCCATATAACTGGAATAGGAAAAGCACCCAGATGGCACAGTGGATTGAGCCTGGGGCCTGGAGCCAGGAAGACTGGATGGAGGTCAAATTCTGCTTCAGATACTTAGTAGCTGTGTGACTCAGTTTCCTCAATAGTAAAATAGGGACAATAATAGCACTATCTGCCAGGATTGTTGTGAGGATCAAAGGAGATAATATTTACAAATCACTTAGCACAGTGCCTGATATATAGTAGGAACATAATCCTTTCCTTCCTCCCTCCTTCCCTCCCTCCTTCCCTCCTTCCCTCCCTCCTTCCCTCCTTTCTTCTCTCCTTCCTTCCTTCCTTCTTTCCTTCTTTTCTTCCTTCCTCCTTCCTTCCTTCCTTCCTTCCTTCCTTCCTTCCTTCCTTCCTTCCTTCCTTCCTTCCTTCCTTCCTTCCTTCCTTCCTTCTTTCCTTTCTTCCTTCCATTTTCTTGATAGTTATTGAAAGACAGCATGATAGTGGAAAGAAACTAGACTAGAAGTGAGAAGACCTGGGGTTGTTTTCTGGTTCCAAAACTTATTAGCTTCTTGGACAAGTCACATAACCTCAACCTCTTTGCTCATTTGTAAAATGGGAATAAGAATACTCCTACTACTTACCACACAGATTTATCGTGAGGCTCAACTGTGGCAATAGTTATAAAGCACTAGGTAGACTCAGAGCATTGGCATTTACTTAAGATTTTGTCCACAAAGCAAAGTCTCCAAACTAGTTTATCTTATTTGTTCCTCAACCCAACATAGTTTATCTCTGAAAATATGGAAAGGTTAGAAACTTGATCATCCATTGTTCAACAACAAACTGGGAGGTTTTTGCATGAAAAATCTCAGTAGGTTACAACTATTTTGCAGCAAAGATTTTGGTGAAATGTTCATGTGTACCAATTAATTCCTTGGCAGAATATCTACTATGTTTGTGAAGATAATGCCTGGCACATGGTGGGTGCTTAATAAATGTTTATTGATTGATTGATAGACTGGAGTTTCTTTGTTGGTAGATGTTATGCTTGTATTTCTCTGATAGAGTTATATGAATAGAAACACGGTGGGGGTGGGAGTAAGTGAAGCAGATTGGGAAGACCTGCTAAGAATAGTGAACATTTGCATGGATTGTAGTTTTTCCTTGCTTAGCAAAGAAACTTTAAATTTAACTAGTGGTCAAACTATTCTGCCACCACTACCATCGTCACCATAATAGCCAGCATTCATATACCACTATAAGGTTTGCAAAGTGCTATTCATGTGTTACCTCCTGTGATCTTCACAACAACCCTGCTATTATTATTCTTGTTTTACAGATGAGGAAACTAAGTCTGAGAGAGGTTAAGTCAGTTGCTTGGAGTCACAACTAGTAAGTGTTTGAGGTACAATTTGATTTAATTTTTCTTCCTAACTCCCAAGTCTAGCATTCTTCTTCCCCCACTGTACCATTATCATTTCAAGACACATGTAAACCCAACAAGGCCCATACACAGGTCAACCCTTGGCTTTCAGAAACATATTTTGTCACCAATGTAATCCTTGGTTCTTTATTGGTGGATTATTAAATTATCATCTCATTGAAATCAGAAACATAAGACATGCTTCTTCTTGTCTTTATATTATACACTACCTCTGTGGGCTGATCTGCTGGCTGTGGTATCATAAGCTGGTTATGGTGCTGAAGGACAGTTTTCAAATAATCTAAGACCGTCTGGCAGGGCACTGTAGGAAACAGATTGCAGTTACTGAATATCCTTAGTGTGGCAACAGCAACAAAAACAGCAACAACAACAGCAACTTTTCACTAAATACGGTCCTCTAAGATTTGCATTGTCAATTCTCCAATGAGGTCTTTTGTAGCAGAAATACAGCTTCTCTTCTTCTGATTTTTGCAATCATTTAATTTAGTAAATCCAGAGCAGGTGCTGCAACCTCAGGGGCCTTTAAAGGTTTTTCTACCCTCAGCACAGTTACTCTGAAGGGTTTTCAGATTAAAGAAGATTACAGGACTAAATCAGGTCAACAACAATGATAATAAAAAGTTTGCATCATAAACACAATTTAACCCCCCCCCCCCCAAAAGAGAGGGAAGCATTTCTCAAAAATTTGACTCATTATCCAAAATTAACACTCAACAACATGTGACACTTTAAAAGTTGTGGCCTGGGTAGCTAGTTTTTATTGTTGATGAGATATTCATATGATTAATCTTTACTTTCTAATTTTTTCAGGGGGGCAAACACTGCATGCAATTCAGATTCTTTCCAACATATACAAATATGCACACTTAGATTCATTCTTACTTCACAGGTCTTTTCTCTGATGGTGGTTAGGTTAGCTAGTTCTGACTCAGATAAAGGCCTTTCTTAAGCAGATGTTGCCACATACCTAATTAACTACGCACATTTTGGGAAATAGTTCTTTTGTACTGTGACTGAAGGAGCTTGACTGAATAAATAAGCACATTTGATGAAAAATTATGTTTTAAAAAACCCCTTTAATATTAGCCCTCTTAGAATGACCTAATTTAAAACAAAACAAAACAAAAGTCTTGGGAGCCTTGCTAAGACTAATTTGTAGTCATAATTCTTTCAGTGGCTGTCCATAGTGCTGAAAAGGGACTGCATCACAGTTAAGAAGATAATAATATGTTAAACTAGAGCCCCCATTTTAAAGTGCCAGCACTAATCATTCTCCAGCTTGCCTTAGTTTTATGGGTACCAAGCAGAATCTTTCTTCCCCCACTCCAATACTTACTGCTCTTGGGTCTCAAGTTTTAGTATCCACAATTAATTCTCTCACATTTCATTGGTAACATTATTGAAAATTTTGAACAAGAGGAAGTTAAAAGACAGGTTGGGAGAATTTTTGCTTTCGAATACTTAGGTAATTCGCAATATTTAGATGTAGGTTTCTTAGGCAACTCCTCAGTGGTTGTTTGACTTAATCCTTCAATTTCAGTGACATTTGCTAAATGATTATACAAGTCAGTTTTAATAGGCTGTGATATTGCACAGCACATCTGTTTTAAATAAGCTAGGTTCAAAAAACCTAGAGGATTCTCCAGATTTAGGGGTTGCAATCTCTGTTGGTGGAGAGATGACCCACACTAATGAAATTATACATCTTACAACATAAAAAAGAAATAATTCTCCCTTTTGTGAATTAAGTTGTGTTCAACAATTTTCCCATGCTTAACAATGACAGATTAAGAATGCATTTTATGGCAGTAATCATTGTTTACATAAAATAGAAGAATTAGGGAAATCTAGTGGAGGCACAAGAGGGCTGAGAGGTAGAACACTTCTAAGAGCCAGTAAACTTTGGGATTCTAGTCCTGTCTCTGCCTTCAATTGTGTGACCTTAGGGAAATTATTTAACTTCTCTGTGCCTCATTTTCTTCATCAGTATAGAAATAATAATAATAATGCCTGTCTCTACAAAACTTACAGAGTCATTATGAGATAAAATGATAAAGCATATATAAAGGTGAGGCATTCTGGTCAGACTTGCCCCTTCTTCCACAGGGAAAACATTTTTACAGAAATATCCAGAATGATTGGTAAATACTTACACACCAAGGAACTGTTAGCAATCCTGGTGTGAATTCTTATGTGACTTACTTCTGATTAGCAAATTAATAGATGTATGGGATTTTTCTACCCTAGATTAGTAGAAAAGACAAAGGAATAGTTTGTTTACTACTGAGTATAATTGAATTAATCCCCAAGGGGGGGGATAGTGAGACCCCCCACGGTCAGTTTGCTGTCCTAGAAGAGTTGGTCAGCTCCTTCTTTAACCTCAATTTGGACACACACATATATGTATATGTATACAAATATATATATACACATGTGTATATGTATATGTGTGTGTATATATATATATATACACATACATACATATCTATATCTAAATATCTATAACTACATCTATCTATCTATCTATCTATCTATGTAAAATGTCTCAGAGCCAGGAAAGACAAAGGGACACAAGGCTGCTATATCAGAGGCTGACTTATATCCTCCACAAAACCTTTGTTTTTAGGCCAATACATTATAACTAGGCAAGTGTCTTAGGAGTATGAATTTCTGTGTCTCTCTCTTGACACAAAGCAAACTATTGCAGGAAGTGTTTTGAAAAATTAAGCAGTCAGGATAGCATAACTATTTTTATCAGTGTTTTTTGAGTTTTGGGTAAAATAATTTATTTTCCCAAAGATTGATTTCTTTGAAACTTGACCTTTTGCCAAAGTGGTGGCACCAGGCTGCCTAAGGAAGGGGTGAATTGGCCCAGGTGAGGAATACAGCAAGTCAAAGAGATACTTGATCAGTGTCAGAATCAGACCTGGGAATAGCCCCTGAACTTCCAGCAATAGGGAGATGCAGTCTATACAAAAACAAACTAACCACAAAAATAGGCTTAAACCACTATCACTTTCTAGGCTTGTGGATGAATGCAGATGGCTAGTTTAATGCAGATTTTGAACTTGAAACTACTATTACTATGACCCACAGGTAGTTTTTCTAATAAGTGCCATTTTTCTATAATCCAAACAAATGGATTTTTTGATTTATTTTCTATTTGTCATATGGGGATAATAATACCTGTAGTCCCTACTTTTTAGGGTTGTTGTAGGAATCAAATGAATACATACACACACACACACGTATACTGATTGATATATATGTATATATACATATACGTATACACAAAGATGTGTACATACACATAATGTCCCAAAAGTCTTAGTGCATTTTAAGCTATTGAAGCTAATTTAAAAATTAAGCTATTAAAATTTTAAAATGAATTAAGACTTTTTTGGGCCATGATACATACATACACAAAATTTTGCAAACCTTAAAATGTTATACAAATGTCAGATATTACAATCAACCCATAGCCCACCAATGCAAACATGTGCACTCCTTTTCTACTTACCTGCTCGTTAATACAAGTGATACAGACCTGCAAGGGACAGGTGTGACAAATCCCTAATCCCAGTTTATAAGTAGAAGTGATGGTGTTGGCAGTTTCATTCTGCTCTCTTCACCTTGCTACAAGTGTTAGGGCACTGATGGAACATAAGGTCCCTGAGGATAGGACTGCTTTTTGTTTTCTGTCTGAACCCCCAGTGCCTAGAATAGGGCCTTGCACATCATAAGCATGTAATCAATGCTTGTTGGCTTGGTTTGGATTAGTGTCAGTTACTATATTTCAAACCACACAGCTCTAGCTCTTTCTTTAGGATCATGTAGCTTAAAACAGAACTGCAGGTAGATTGACCAAATTAGTGAGCAAAACTTGGCAGATGCAATCTGTAAGGGCAGTGGACCTCCAAAGCCTTCCTGGAAGTAGGTACCTTTGTGCTGCACTTCAGAACCCCTGCACAATGGCTGGGGACCAGACTGAGAGCCAGGAGGAAGAGTGCATTTCTCTCTGCCTCATTACATTTGCAGAGGCTAAGCTGAATCAAGTAAACTATCTTATGTGCAAAATAAGTGGTAAATATCATTATGCTATAAATATGTAAATACTGAGTAAGATTTACTTGCCAAATTAGGGGCCAAAATAGGAAAAGAATCTTGGTTGGTTTTTGTTGGTGGTGGTGGTGGGTTTTTTTTTTTTTACCTTGGCCCCAGAGCAGCTTACTTAGCTAAACTGTGCTGCCTTTTTAGGAGAGACCTGTTATTTTGCCAGTAAAATGAAAGCACTGAAAATAGAACTTTTTCTACTTTATTTTGTCATGATTTTTGGTAACCATATTGTATAACTATGTATGGACAATTCCCATAGTCATCCAAAAATATTAAAGGTACACTTCATTTTCAATTTTCTACAATCAAAGTTTCTGTATAAGTGTTTTGGTCTCTAGTCTCTATTGGGCTATTTATTCTTTAAATCTACAAAATGGGGATTAATATTATCCCTCAGAGTAGCAAAATCATGATCTAAAGATCTCATTCTCTAAAAGTCAATTGCAGCTATCGCCTATCTGTGTGACCTCAGGTAGGTCACTTAATATGAATAATAGCTAACGTTTGCGTAGTGCTTACTATGTACCAGGCACTGTGGTAAGTGTTTTATAATTATTATCTCATTTGATCCTCTTAACAACTCTGGGAGGTAGAGGCCTAATTTTTCTCATCTATAAAAATAGGAGGTTATATTGGATAGCTCCTAAGGTCCCTTTCAGTTGTATATATCTGTATTCCTATGATCCTACTTTGAGTAATGAGTTTTAAGAAAGGTCATTCTAATTCATAGGAAAGATACTACTTTGGACTAGTCATAATTGTGACTTTGCAAATACCAAAAAAGGCTAAAGTAAAATGAATTTCACATATACATCAGAGAAAATAAACTGAGTTGGTGGAGAGCAATGGAGGTTATAATGGAATAAATAAAGTAACTGTTAAAGGTGCCTTAAGCTGACCTGGACCATTTATACTGCAGTTGAAATGAATAGTTATTCTATTATATAACCATTTTATATAATTTAATCAAAAAGGAAAATAAGATAATTCTGGAAGGAGTAAAATAAGCTAAAGAAATCAACATAAGCATTGGGGTTTTTTTTAATGGTAGAACTTTGGAGGCAATATTAAGAATGATGGATCATCGACATATTATCACATATCACCCAATGCTGAGTTTCACATGCTGTCAAATGCAAAGATGGTCCTAAACTGCTATTCCTAGGAAATATACTTTAGGTTGTT